GTCATCTTGTAGTGCATTAGCATCGACAGCACGGAAGCGCCGACTACAAAAACTCGAGTGCACCACGATGCCGCTTTTTAAAGAAAAGTCATCGCGTGTGCTGAAACTGACGGAAATCGGGCCGTATCGCGGTCATTCGGAGTTCGCGAAACGTGCATGCAGGACTGGCGAAAACAAAAGCAGAAGATTGCCGACAGCAAAGCATCACGCAATGGCTTCAGTGGACCACAGCAGGGTCGGTTTCCGCAAATCGAAGAGCTGCTCGGCAAGTATGTGCTTGAGCAGCGAGCAGTACAGCGGCCCGTGACGACAGAACTGCTCCAAGTGCGGGCTATGCAATTAGCCTTAGAAAAAGGTCTAATGCGGAGCCAGTTTAAAGCGAGCAAGTGCTGGCTAACTAACTTTATGAAGAGGAAAGGCTTTTCCTTTCGAAGGGGAACGGGCATATGCGAAAAGTTTTGCGGAGGAGTACGATCAAAAGCTTCACAGTTTTCAGAGGTTCGTCCTAAACCTGCGGCACAACAACGGCTACCTCCTTGGGCAAATCGGGAATGCCGTTCAGATGCCTCTTTATTTCGACCGTTGGCAACTGTCGAGAAGGGGGCGAAGCAAGTTCGCGTGCTGACATCGGTCCACGGTAAAACTACAGTGACGGCAATGCTCTGTTAAACGTCAGATGGGCACAAGCTTCGCCCGTACCTTATATTAAAACGGAAGGCGCTCCCGAAAGGAGTCGTTTTTTCAAGTGGTGTGATCGTGTGGGCCAGCAAAAAAAATGGGTGCGCGTTCCAATCGATGTTTCACGTTTTTTTTTTTTTTTTCGTTGTGGAAATCCGGTGCGCGTTACAATCGAGGGCGCGGTAGAATCGAGTAAATACGATACACGTGCACAGATTATTCAGTTTTCTTTTTGACTAAGGGGCATTTTAGCCTTGACAGTGCTGAAAGAAACTTCTGAGATGGAGTATAGGTTGTACTTTGCAGAGCTCTGAAAGCTCAGTTTTGCCTGGTAATATGAATGCAAGTCTCCAACTGTACTCAAAAGCAAAATTTGAGGTCAAGTAGTATTTGTATAGGCATCATTTTTGAAAATAGGTGTTTATAGGCACTTCAAAACACTATAAAATTCCTTCTTGACCTCTAATTTATGCTCTTAAATTAAAGTAGCAGGATAGAAATGCAAAAAACAAAATAGGCATTGGCCTATTTTGTTCAGGCCTCTACTCATCAGTGAGTTCACTTTCCTATAGTTATATGTGTTAAGCAGCTGACACATACTGCTGGCTAAGGCTGAATATATTTTACATTTATTTTACCTACAACGTTATTGTGCATCTTTTGCAGTATCATCGTTGTGTTTCTAGCTTATTGACAATCTTCACTTCTGTGGAAATGCCTGCTACAAAAGATGCGAATAAGGAGCAATTTCACAGCAACATAGTACAGCTGAGGCTCTGGAATTAATTTCACAATATCTATAGCATATGGCCAAGAATACTGAAGTCTGGTTTTATCACTCCTAATATATACGGATTCTCACGACACAGAGGGCACTGTATTATGTGACACATAGCAGAGTTGATCGTGGCACCATCTTACCACTTTTACTGGAGCTATGACAGTTCGTTGCGCAACATCCTATCATATACGAAAAGAGCTGCTGGTGTGTGGCATCACGTTGTTGCGATTGAAGTGCATGCTAATGCGCTCCAGGTGATCAAAGCTATCCGGAAACCTCCTCTACAATGTTTTTTTTTTAAGCTGCTTCTATATCTTGAAACCCAAAACCAACGATTGGTTCTACAGTTCACCAAATAATACACCTGAGATCACGCATATCTCGACAAGCAAAACCCAAAAAGCAGAAGCGAGAATAATTACAGTGCCAATGCTCGATGTCATTACACTTGAAAGGCCGGAACCTGCAGCGTGTCAGCATTGCTTGCAAAGAGTCAGCTTAATTCTCTGGGCACAAAGGAACCATTTCTAATCACATGTTGGCACTCGGTGAATACAGTATACTCTCAGTAAACAGAACCTAAAGGGAGTGAGGAAATATGTTCCATTTAACAGAAGTTTCGTTTACTGAGAGGTGAACATGAATGCAGAAGACAAGCACAAAACCAAGCATTGCAGAGGCAATAGTTGCATTTAAGCAGCAGTTCTGTTTAACAGATTTCCGTTTACTGAGAGTTCACTGTAGTGGCACTGGGAGTCGTGGAGACGGAGCGAGCAGTGCCAGGAAAACAGTGGCACAACTCTGCTTTTATAGATACCATATAGTAACTACAGTAACTCTACATGTATCCTCGGGTTCATTAAAGCTGCACAGGCATGTGGTCCCACTGCAATCTGCTGCTATCATTTGTTCATTGAGGTAATATACTGACTCTAGAGGTGAAGCTCCCCATATAGCCCATGCATTAAAACCTATAACTGCTTAGATGCCAGTATGATGGAATGATACACGGCTATTGGGTGAAGCTTACTTGCACTCGCCACTGCATTCTGCTCTAACTCTTGACATTTTTTTTTTTCTGTTCTGTGGCTCCCTGTTGCATCGCAGTAAAAGTGTGGCAAGGTTCGGTAAATAAAATCAGTCGGGCTATCTGTAAAACGTGATAATATGGCAAGAGAAGGAGGTGAGAATTGGATTTGCATAGAAAAGAAAATATATTTAAACACACAAAGAAGACACAAAAAGGGAATGCTAGGATCTACAAGAAGTAAACAAACAAGCACCGGCCAGACGGAATATAGATACTGTTTTCGTTAACCAGAGTAAACCTCTAAGAGTCTAAACTCTCTTTTGAGTTCACCCGTCGAAGTTGTTAGAGTCCGGACGTGCGAGGAGAGTGGTGCGGCTCACCAGCTGTTCATGCCCCTCAGCAGTCAAATGAAGAAGATGCAGTGGTGAAAGTGCACAAGCTCGGGCCTGTAGCCCAGCGGCTCGCTCCCACTTTCTGTGAATGCCGCCATCAGCGTTGCTATCTTCCGCCCGAGTACCAGAACCGTGTCATGCCAGGGACTCTGCTATAGCCTCGGCGGTAAAATGCTCACTAGGACCCCGTAAAAGTCTTCGCCGGCTACATGGATGCGTTGAAGCCTGGTTACACGCACCTGACAAGCTTTCACGCTGTACCCTAGCCACATTATTCCAATCACTAGCACGACTCTTCCTCCTTTTCTTAGCAGTGGCTCTGGATTCTGTCTTCAGTTTATTTTTAGTTTTTCTTTTTTCTACTTCGGTGCTGGGTGCTCGCACAGGTTCGCACACAGGCTCGCACATTGTCAGTAGCCCGTCTTCGTCAATCTTGCCTTGTCAAGTTTGAGAAGCACTTCACTCTTGCTCTTTACTCTCAACGAAAAGATTCACCTGATGCACAAGCAAGCCTGTGCATTTGGCTGCACGCCGCACGGTCACACTCTCAAATGTTGATAAGGTACAAGGATGGTCACACTGTCTAGTAAACAAACCTGCAAGCACTTCTTTCTGCGAATTGTAAATTGCATAAATGGCCATGGGCAGGGAGAGGAGTATCCTTCCCTACTAGTAGTTGATATAAACATCACACAATATTTGTATCTTTATAGTGCGCGAGCATGCTTGTTTGTGACAAAAAGCTGAGTGTTTCAGACGCTACATTTAGCACTTTTGTAAATTATTCTGAGGGTAAATATGACAACGTACCATCATCTATTCGTGTGTATATAGCTCTAATAGCCCAGCTTTTTCGCTAAAGTTAATCTCAAGATTTTCAGTTTTCAGTCTCTGCCGAGCAAGTGCCTTCCCCTCACCTCACTCCCAACTGCCTCTATCCATCACACTCTGCGGACTTGTACCGAAGCTGCCGAAACAAGAACAGCACCAAAACCTCTGGCTACACTCTCGTTTAATTGAAAATACAATCCGAAAATTGGTCATCTGACCACCTTTGCTTGCATGAAACTAAAATTGGCTTGGCACCTGCCACTTTGTTATTGTCGTTTGTTTGTTCCAAACATCACTGCAGTGGCTACAGTGCGTCATTTTTTAGTAAAATCGACGGTCATTGCTCTTTTGACATGTCGTTTGGGCATTTTGGCACTTTCTTGGCATGACCTTATCAGAATCATTAAGGTGCAACACTGACTCTCTGTAGTAGCTAAACAAAGTCTTGAAGTACACGTTATGAACTTGTCTGGCAGATCAGGCTATGTTGGAGTTATTAAAAGATACTAATAAAATCCAATCGAGCACATTTGAGACGCTATTCTTCCTTTTTGAAAGTGTCTGTTTTAGGTCTTCTCTTAGACCAACACGTATATAACCATTTGTAGCCGTTTCAAAAAAGTCTTTAAGGCTTGTTTCTTGGGATGTCTTGTGGATGTGCATCTGCTGTCCAAATTATTGCGTCCGGATAAAATTCTTCATAGATGTCCTTCAGATGTTTCGGACAGAAAACAAAATGGACGTGAAGAACTACCGAAGTGCAATGGCCCTATATCGTCCCTTAGATAACCGGCTCCGTACGTGGACGTGTGGCTAGTATTCAAACGTACACCGGATTTTTGTGGTCCATTGGCGTTGATGTCCCTGGACAGTGAGCTGGCAGCGGGAGCTGTGGTGATTGGCAGCAGCGCCCACTTCTGCGAAAGCTGTAAGGGAGAGCAGAAGAGGGAGGCAGTGGTATGGCATACACTGCAGCCCCTTGATCACGGAAGCCAATCTAAACAAGCATCACAAAAGTCCTGTGACTCCTTGAGAAATTCCTACTCTCTTTCTGCTTGTAACTTCCAAAATCGGTCAAATTGACACACAAAAAGCAGAAATGTGCCGTGACCCTTTTCTTACTTTTTTTTTCTTAGAGTGTATGTGGGCCAGGCAATAAGGGGCAGTAAGCTGCCCGTGGAAGCTCCACGCTAGGCATTGCTTATTCGCACATGCAAGTTGGTGTATGTCCTACACCCTGATGTTGCAATGCGTGAGTGATTTTTGTTTTGCACCCTCTTTTCTGCAGGGTTCTTCAGGCACTGCAGCAGTCTCCTGAATTCGGTCGAACGTTTGACTGCAACGCTGAAGAGTGGCAGTCCCACATCTGTCATGCGTGGTAATTTGCTGACACATGGGCAGCAATGCTTAAACATTTGTGGCAGCTGTAGTAGCAGCAGGCCAGCAGCACCAACGCTTCCACGAGCAGCTGGTTTGCATTGGGCGTGGTCGCTTCGTGCAGTGTGCCTTTCGTGCAGTTCTGACCTGCTGTTGTAAAGGCAAGTGGGATGGTGCGCACAATAGGAGTCTTCTAACACAATGCGGACAAGTTTCTTTGTGCTCATGGAGCTTGGCAAGCTGCTTTTCGACATGAGGCATATGCTTGGACGCACTCCTGGGAGACAGTGCAGATCACAGATGGACTGGTTGTGTGTGTGAACTTTATTTAGAATGGGCTGAGGTGGTGTGCATGTATGTATATGAGTGTTTGTAGGCATCAGACCTGTTAGTATTTCAAATGCTTTGTACAAAACTCCATTCCAAGTTTTGGCCTCATGTTTTCATTCAATACCACGCGAGAATAAAAATACCTTTAGAGTACCATCACCTTTATTTCATATATTGTGTCATGTTTTTATTATACTGTGTACCTGAACTTTAATAGCAATGCTGGTTTGGTCGGCCAGCTGTGTCATAATTCAAACATGCTCGCCTCTTCTGCATTGTGACTATAGCATAATAGTACTCATCTTTAAAAAGTCTCGTATAGACTTTTTTCAGGATATCCCAAAGGTGTGTGGAGCACTATGGCAGTTCTCAGCTATGGATGTGTTGGGGACCCCTCATGGACTGGTGGAAGTGATGGGGGACCCCTTGCAGTGGAGGAGAGGGAGGAGGGGTACATAGGTAAATTAAAACACAATTGGAGCATGAAATAGGAGCCTTTTATTGCTACCAAAAACATCAAACAAATGTGCCACATCACATTTGGGACAGTTCATCAATATGTGGCACAGTCAGGCTTTAAAAAAAATGCGGGTGAGGGTTTTGGGGATCATTGAAATCACTTTGTGGGCCCCATTTGAGAACCACTGCACTGTGGGATAAGTCTGTAAATCGGGTTAGCTGACTGGTCATTCGACGGCTGCTCATTGGAGCCGTGAAAAGACACAATGAAAAGAACACTAGTAGCGCACTGTGTTGCCACAATGTTGCAGTAATGTTACCTTTCGAAATTGCTGCAACATGGCTAATGTTTGTTTTTCTTCGTATTCTTGCAATCTTCAAATGCAACATTGATAAAACAATATTGCAACTCTGTTCGAAGGTTTCTACAAGGCTTAGACAATTTTTATGTAGCAAAACTGCAGTTTGCAGCAAAGCTGAGGCAACATTTTTGTAATGCTTTGTAGAAGTTTCTACAAAAGTAAAGCAACCATCATGCGACTGAAGGGCACTTTGTGTGCACTGCAGTGCGACTCTATGGCTAATTTGCCTTCATTGTCCCTAAAGCCCAATGCTTTGAAAAATTGGGTGTCATTATCTTCGAATATATGGCGGAGCCCTTTACAGAACATTATGAAAGATTAATCCGTTTCCTCCTCCTCAACACACGCACTACATACTGTGTCTGTGCCTTCGTGTTTTGCTCAGTACGTCTTGGTGCGCATTACTCCCGCTCTAGCCTTGAAGAGCAGAGAACTACCCCCGAGAATTATCGTAGATCTTTTCCCTTGTAATTTCCTGCTTAAAAGTTTGGTATGTCTCCAGTGATGATTTCGTAAGCATTTCCATCTTCCACATGTCCCTCTCTGTTTCTGTCACATTCTTCTTAACAGATGTTTCTTTTTGGCTTGGTATTCTGCTGTTGTCTAAATACTTGTTTGACAGTTTTCGAGTTTGCTTCCTTCATTTAGTGTCAACATTCTTCATGTACAAGTAGCTGAAAACTTTCCTAACCCAACGCTCCTCTCCCGTTTTTCTCAATTGCTCCTTAAATTCTATTTTGCTGCTAGCTTCCTTGCACTCAAACGATGTCCATTCCATGTCACCCTGTACCTCCTGATTTGGGGAATTCCCGTGGGCTCCCAAAGCAAGTCTACCTATGTCATGTTTAATTTCCAATCTTGCTTGAGCTTATGATTTCATGCACAAGACAGCATTGCCCAAAGTCAAACCCGGGACCATGACACCTTTCCAAGTTCCTCTCACAATGTCATACCTATCGTAGTTCCACAGTGCCCTATTTTTCATTGCAGCTGCATTTCTGATGCCCTTGGTCATTACGTATCTTTCAATATTCAGCCCCATTATTTATCTATAACACCCAAATATTTGTATTTATCTACTATTTCTAGCGTGACTTCCTATATCTTATGCTCACTGCCTTTGTTATGATTGAATATTATGATTGCCGATTTTTCCCTGCTGAACTTGAAACTTAACATATCTGCCTCATTACCACAGATGTCTATCAATCGCTGCAGACCTTCCTTGTTGTTGGCTATCAATACTATACTATCTGCATACATCAATGCTGGTAATGACTGTTCAATGCGTTTTTCTTGCTTGGCAAAAGAGAGGCTGAAGCCGAGTCGACTCCCTTCTACTTTGACTTCTAGTCCCTCGAGATACAGCATAAATAACAAAGGGGACAATGGACATCCCTCTCGAAGCCCGTGTTGTATCTCTATAGGTTCAGATACCTGTTCTTCCCAACCCGGGAGTGTCATCAGCGCCACCTGTAGCCATAACAGCGAGTCACACTTTTTATGAGCCTGTTTTGGCGTCACATAGCACGTGAACTTATTATGAGCTGTATACAACCTTAAGCCACCATGTCTGCTAGTACGAGGCCCTCGTTAATGAATCAAGAAAAGAAGTGTATACGGCTCGTAACTATATATATATATATATATATATATATATATATATATATATATATATATATATCTGTGTGTGTGTATGTGTGTGTTAGTAGAAGCAGAGGATGAAGAAGTAGATAAACAATAAACATGGCCTATGAGCCAGGCTGCATCTCCTACATCTAGCATTACACAAGTCGACGGGATGAAGGCCTGCCAGCCCCTTCATCAGTCGCTCATCATCGACGCAGTTGCCCATAAGACACCCTTACCATACATCGACTACCGAATCATCTCGTAGCAACACACACCGACCAGCACCATGACAGAACCATCAGCTGACCTTGACATCCCCAAGTACACCGGATCAGCGGACGACGGACCCGTACAGGACTGGTTAAACCTATTTGAGCTCCATGCTGCTGCTGCATCCTGGTCGGAACGGGAAATGGTCATCAACTTTACCCACCATGTCTCTGGTGAGGCTTTCAAATTCTGCATTGTATACCACATAATTCAAAATGACGAATTTCGGCAAAAAAGAAATGATCACCCGTTTGAGCGACTATGATGAAGAATTCCTTATTACCAATAATCTGGAGACAATCCCACTCAGACGTCTCAGACTCAGACACCACAGTTCCAGCGGTTATCCTTAAAAGACATAGCTTTCCATCAGGTTTCTCTTCTGCAAGAAAGTCGGCATTTTAAATGTCTTCGCTCCAACATATGACACGAGACGCTGCTTATTCTACTGATGCCCTGCATGCTTCGCCTCGCATACATGGTCCACCACCTGGTTTTCTATTACGCAGCTCTTCAAAGGCTCTTAACACTCACCAGTCATGTTGTAAGGATGCCTTGTTCACGGTAGACGAGCTGACGCATGGGGAAAATACCGAACAATGGCACGACAACTCGAAGAGTCAAAATCAGTCTTCACGCATTGGAGCAGCTAACTTCCCATCTAGTACACTTGGCCCACCTCCTGCTTTTCCATGACTTGGCTCTTTCGTCACTCACAATGCACACCTCACGTCTCACGCTCTCACCACGGTCGAAGTAAAGCTGCAGAACTCGGAAGATACTCAGCCAAGCCCTGCTCCTTCAAATAAGATTCATGCGTCAGAACAGCTCAGCTCGTTAGTTGCACAAAAAGACAGGCAATAATTCAGAACAGGAATATCACCAAACTATGCCTGTTGCGGTGTCGATCGCAGTCATCTGAAAGGCCCAAAACAGGAGGCCCTGAAGCATCAACTCTGACAGGTTGCCAGGTGCCAGAAGCCTATCCAACGAACTGTGCCACAGGCGCCTCTAATGTATCTCCAGTGAAATCTGTCCTACCAACTTCACTGCCTGAAAAACGTTGCGACAGCTACCAACTGGAAACTATGCCAAGTTGCCAAGAAATACATTGTCCTCTTTGCGAAGGGCTGCCACCTCAACATTTTTCGCAACGCCAACAAGGTCAGCACAAGCAAATAAACCAGGTTAGGCGACATGTTATCCGACGAGGACAACCACAGTCATCGAATGACCACTTGCAGCTCAAGGAAAGACATTTACAAAAAAGTCAAGTGAATCAACGACATATTCAAGATGTCTTGCTTGTGGTAATGAAAGCATCAAATCCGGGACATTTTAGCAAGGGACGTCCAGTAAGTTTTTTAGGGACGAAGCTCCTTAGGGCGTGGGCTGTGCGTCCCCTGTAGCCTGTACGTAGCCACCTCTAGTTTAGTTCTTGCAGTGTTCACTAGATGGCGGTACCGTCCCCTGTATGTAGCCACCTCTAGTTTAGTTCTTGCAGTGTTCACTAGATGGCGGTACCGTCTCCTGTATGTAGCCACCTCTCATTTAGTTCTTGTAGTGTTTACTAGATGGTGGTACTTGTAGCTGATGATGAAAAGATGCAAGATGTTATAAACTAGAAAGCGGTACTTGTAGTTGATGAAAGACGCGAGATCTTATAAAATAGGAATGATGTCACATATGGCGCATGTCATTGGTTGAAGGCAATCGTTCGATTTAGTGCGGCGACGTACGCTGGGGGGAGCGTTGTAATAAAATCTGTTCGCTGTTGGCGCGCGCTCGGAGTCGCCGGATGGATAAGACAATAATTGGCTTATCCAACATATGGCTTCTAGATATGCACTCAGACGTATATCGTTTGACCATATGAAACCTACCACGATCCGAGGAACATGCATAGACCTAGTATTTGCAAATTGCCCACTGCAACCCATACAGGAACCGCTCTCCCTTCATTTCACAGACCATAAAGCCATCATAATGAAGGGACATCGCAAGCCATCCATCGTCTAAGAACAAATAAAAGTTGATTTGTGTATATACACACACAGCGTTTCTCACGTCTTTACATGATGATCGACTGGGCGAATAACACGGAAGATTCACAGTTTACCGATGAATCCCTCCGGAGCTTCACCCATTCATCATCATTCACCCCGTGAATATGCCGTAATTTTTTTCAGCAGTGGTCAAGACTCAAGCAACATGACATGCAACTACGAAAGAGGCGCAAAACCACACCCTGTGTTCCGGAAGGACGCAGAAATCACCGCATTAGCCTTGGTCAATTAACGTAAGAAGGCAGGGATGGTTAGTAGAAGCAGATGATGAAGAAGCCAGGCATATGAGCCAGGCCACGTCTCCCACATAAAACAAGCCCTTAAGCATACACTTCTTTCTGCTTTCCCTTAATCATTAACGAGGGTCTCGTACTGGCAGAC